CTGCACAGACCGACAGAGTCGATAGACGGAGTCAACGCGACACAGACCAAAGCCAACGTAACGCAGATCAAAGAGAACGTGACACCGATCAAAGAGAACGTGACACAGATCAAAGAGAACGTTACACAGATCAAAGAGAACGTGATACAGACCAAAGCCAACGTGACACAGACCAAAGAGAACGTGACGCAGATCAAAGAGAACGTGACACAGATCAAAGAGAACGTGACACAGACCAAAGCCAACGTGACACAGACCAAAGCTAACGTGACGCAGGTCAAAGAGAACGTGGCACAGGCCAGCGTGACACAGACCAAAGCCAAGGCGACGTGACGCAGGTCCCTACGTGGTCTCTGACAGATGAAGCATTTGAACCACGGAATGGAGCCCGACTGACTTTACTGCTTCATCCGACCCAGAAATCAACGTCTAGCATCCGTGGAACCTCCTGGCCAGATGTTCAGTACCTTCTGTACCTCCAGTATGGAGCCGGGACTGAGGAAGTCCCCTCTATACCTCTCCACCCTCACTTCTATTCATAATATCGCCAGATATATATGGACATATCTCTAATTTCCCTCCATGAGGGAGACATGCACGGGTTACAGAAGACCTGTGCTAACCCGGGTCATCCTGTGGTGGGCTGTGGGTGGTGGACCTGCATTTCTGAAGTTCTTACCCGGATCTTCATGGGGAAACAAGCAATGGGTTATTGAAGACCAATCAGTGGTTCATGGGTTGCTGAAGATGAATAATATTCTGGATCCTCACATTGGGAGACCTGCATTTATTACAGAAGACCAATTGACGGGTTGCTGAAGACCTCTAATCCGGATCTTAAAGGTAACGGTGATGTATGTCCCATTTACTATGATCCTGACAACAAATGGGTGAACGTCTGATAACATCTGTTGCACCTTTTCAAAGAATTTATTCATGTTTTATAATCTCAGCAGTTTCAGATTAATAATCAGCTGATGAAAGAACGCCCTACTTCAAAGTGCGTGTCTGTGACTATTTTCCAATCAAGTATGGCAATCATTCCCTTCAGGTAAAGGTATCAACACCCCATACATAATGCAGTCGGCCTAATTGTGTCTGAACAAAGCCTAACTACAAAGCAATTAACGACAAGGTCTACCACACGATTGCGAGACGTTGCCGATATCCAGATACGCGGGATTTGTTTGGCCGCTGGCTTGCTGTACACCTGTACATCTGCACACCTGTACGCCTGTACACCTGTACGCCTGTACATCTGTACACCTGTACATCTGCACACCTGTACACCAGTACATCTGTACACCTGTACGCCTGTTCTCTGTAGTGAACGACATATGAGTACACGAAAACAACTCATACACAGTCCCGTAGTATTGGCTGACATGTCGTAAACGACCTCGCCTTTTTCTCCTGTCTAATTGCACACTTGATGGAATAATAAAATTGGTTTTAGGCGTTCTGTTGCCAGTACTTGTGTATAGGTGATGGATGAGCATACCACACATGTTCTCTCTACAAACGTCCGTAAATATCAGAAACATTTCCAACCACACCTGTGTACACTGATATGGGACACTCGATATGTCTGCAGAGACTCACAATCAAACTCCACATATCCCCAAACTCCACACAAACAGCGAACTATAAAACCATGTATTAAAAACCACGTACACAGACCGACGCCCAGTCTTAGCCGGTTGCGTGCTGACCCCGCGTTAAGGGAAGCAGGGATCATCAAGGCTTGCCACAATATGGCTGCATCAATAACAGGCGGGTCACCTGGTGTTTGTACAGACACCGGGGATACCCTAGAGGAGGTAACATCGATTATGTAGAGTGTGTCAGCTGTGCATGTTACGTTATATAATGTATTCAGTATGCACGCGACAAACGGACCCGATGACCGGGTATCTTGAACCAATCGAACAGTATCACTCTAACATCAGCCAGAATGTCTATTAAACCGTAATTCGGCAGTCCCTGAAGAAGAATGGCCTTCACCAATTGTACCTTATAGATTCTGTCAAAAGGCTCAAATTTGTTGAGCAGCCAGGGTAACGACACAGATGCTGAAGGGTTGTTCTGGAATGGGGGACCCACGCTGACTGGGGGAGACTAGATTAGATCGGGCTGCCCTGGTTTACTAGTTAGGTCATTGTAGCCCACAGTATGACAAAAGTAACTAGCCAACCAACCATCCAACCAACCAACGTACTAACCATCCAACCAACCATCCAACCAACCAACATACTTACCATCCAACCAACCAGCCAACATACCAACATACTAACCATCCAACCAACCAACATACTAACCATCCAACCAACCATCCAACCAACCAACATACTAACCATCCAACCAACCAACCAACGTACTAACCATCCAACCAACCATCCAACCAACCAACATACTAACCATCCAACCAACCAACCAACCAACCAACCAACATACTAACCATCCAACCAACCAACCAACCAACCAACATACTAACCATCCAACCAACCAGCCAACTAACCAACCAAACAAAGATACCTTGCAACCTACCAACCAACATATTAACTTAGCAACCAACCAACCAATATACTAACCAACCACCCTTCCAACGTACCTGACAAACAGAGGATAGTCCTCAGTAAAACATATTTCCTGCCTCTGATGCACTGTGACATGAGATACCCACCCACACTGTCTGAAGACCATGAGGACGGAGGTTTGAACCAAGAATTCTTGCCGATTTGCCGTGGTATGTCAGCGTCATGCTGGAACATTGTGTTTCCTGTCGCTGTTTAAAGCGGTACTCACCCATATTCAAGTAACTGGCGACAGTTTGGAAACTATCGAGACTTGGCAAGCCTGGCATGTGCGTGAAATCGCCACTAATTAACGCAAGTGGGAAACGATGACAATCTTGAACTTTGCCTGACCGCCGGAATATTTTATCGCCCTTCATGACAAGGTTACTGAGGACCCGGAGCGGCGGTATGTACAGCGAAGTTGTGAAAGCGTTCACTGACGTCACGTTAAAGGCCCGTGTTCCTTCCCAAATGGGTTCAATGTGTGAAGCCAATTTCCAGTGTCTCGCATCGTGATATTGCTGGAATATATCTAAAGTCGGTGTAAAACAATACTCACTCACTGTATGGGACCCATATCCTTACCCGGAGTCTGGGTTGTCTCTACCATACCAATGTGACATTCTTTGTTTAACTGAAATCCTGACTGTGGGGGATGGCTCCCCCTCACTAACCCGTCACTGTTTGCCCCCGTCTGGAGCTCCCCCTCACTAACCCGTCACTGTTTGCCCCCGTCTGGAGCTCCCCCTCACTAACCCGTCACTGTTTGCCCCCGTCTGGAGCTCCACCTCACTAACCCGTCACAATTTCGTCTGGAGCGTCTCGCACTGTTTCGTGATATCCCTGGAATCACTGTTTGCCCCGTCTGGAGGTCACTAACCCGTCACTGTTTGCCCCGTCTGGAGCTCCCCTCACTAACTCCGTCACTGTTTGGGACCCCCCTCACTAACCCACTGTTTGGATCTGGGCTCCACCTCACTAACCCGTCACTGTTTGCCCCGTCTGGAGTCACTAACCCGTCACTGTTTGCCCCTTTGTTCTAGCCTCACTAACTGAAATGCCCCCGTCCTGACTGTTGGTGATGGCTCACTAACCCGTCACTGTTTGCCCCCGTCTGGAGCTCCCCCTCACTAACCCGTCACTGTTTGTCCCCGTCTGGAGCTCTACCCGACGACGCACTGCCCGAGTCAGTGTTGCATGTCTGTGTTGAAGCAATAGGGTCCTTAAGTGGATTTAACCATACATCATATCAACTGACAGCTACTCGACAGTCTATTTTTAAACCGGTTAGACGTGGCTGTTTCTGTCCAGTGTTGTCTGGTAGAGAGGCACCAATCAGGACAACCTCACGTGACGTCACAGACATTTCAAGTGAAGCCAGTTTAATGGTTTGTTTAGACACTCTAGTTTCACTGAGTACTTAGTAAAAAAAACTACAACAAGTCGACCTCATACACCCGCTGTCATAAATATGCACATTGTAACTAAGGTAGACATTTGACGGCGTGGTGAAGGCTACTTTATTTAGAACATAACAGAAAGAAGTTAAGAGAAATTCTCCATTTTGAGGCTGGAGAAATAATGACTTGCCGAAAATGTGCAACTTGTTGTTGAAATCTGAAGTAACCTATACATATAGAGGTCTTTCCTGTTTACTGATCTATTAGTGAGCCAAAAATAACTACCTCACTCACTCAACCACCCTCCCAACCACCCACTCACTCACTCATTCACTCACTCACTCACTCACTCACTCTTTAAAGGAATAGGTATTCCCTGTCCCTTGGCGTGACCAATATGGTCGATACTGTGTCTGTTTGGGAAGCACAACTTTACCATCCACAGTTCCATTTGGTAATAGTTCATTTTATTACTCTCTTTTTTTTAAATCAATAATTTGCAATGTTCTTGTTTATGGTCAGCTTCATACAGAATTTGATGACACGTGTATTGTGTTGCTAAACAGGCTCTCATATCAGTGTATACCGTTGAAGTGTTTGAAATAAAATGCTTGAGTGCTGTTGACAGGCTCCAAGTGACACCCCAGGCAGGTGAAACACGATATGAACAGATGAGTGAGTGATCGTAAAACACTTTGTCCACGATCGTATCACTCTGAAAGCCCACTCAACTCGGATGACCTTCCAGATCACGTAACATTGAACTGAAGTCGGATCACCTGGAGCGGGAGGTATTTGACGAACATGGCCCGACACGCGAGGTGGTATCCACGCGAAAGTTAGCTGGGTCGTATACACGGGAGCAGTCATTAACAATAGGTGATCACACAAGGAATAAAGCTTATTGATTACCGCCGTTCGATTGTAAAGTTGCGCATAATCACCGCTCCCTAACAACAGCAATTAGTCCTAGAATTGCCTACCTGGATACGCTGAGAACTGCGGCAGGGGGTCGCTACACAGACATACCTGTACAGATGTTGTCAGAATAAGTCAGTATATGTACATTTCCATACATTTAATTTGTCGAGTTACATCAGAGCTCCAAGAATGGGCTTAAATGGACTATTGGAATGTAATGAATGCGCTTAAAAACAACCTTGGGTGATGTCTGTACTAAACGGCCTGTGATCAAAGACGACATCAACGGCTGCTGAGACGACCCCTTCGTCTACGACGGACATCCCTGAACGTCGTTGAGGAAGATGCGGTGGAATTATCTAAATACTGTGAGTACATACATTGTACCTTCCATGTTCCTAGTGAACAGAATCACAGGTAGCAACACTGCGATATAGTTGGTGATGTTTGTAACAACATTCTATCATTAAAGAAATTCAGTGTAGTTTAAACGATAGATCGATAGATCGATAGATCGATAGACCCCTTCTGTCAAATCTTCTTAACCTTCATGTGCCTATGCACTCAATCCACGAAAGCATCCTAATCGATAATCCTAACATTGCAAGTATTACATCGCTCTCCTCTCAAGTGACCCTTGACCTTTCACGTGGCGCCAGAAAAAGAAACTTTCATTCTCTCAAAGGTAAACTACCTGGTAAACGACAGTTTGTGATCATTTTGGTTGGTGCCACGGGTATTGTACAGGAATATACAGCCATATAGTACAAATTGTCATACTCTTGAAAATGCTCTTTGAAATGGATTTTTTTTATCTATCTCACATTCTAATTAAAAGTGAGAAATATTAATTGTGTTATTAATATGTAAATTTAAAATGATGTGAGTCCAGTGTGTAGTATAATAGACTTGGGTGAGAGTCCCGCCTGTCCGGGACTACGGTCACCGCTACGTGGGATTAGGATTCAAGGGTGGTTGTTTGAGGTCAATCGTTGAATCAATCAACGAGAGATGCTTTCTTACGTCGCCGTTTAGGAAACCCAAAATGGCCTCATACATTATACCTGTAATCGAACGCTTCCACCGCTGTGCCTCCATAGAGGCCACTTCCTTAATGTAATCCATTTCATGCTGAAGTTGAAGAGTTGCGTCCCGTGGAAGTGGTATAAGCGAGGGTTCGAATCTCTGACCATTCTTCTAGGGTTGTCAGCACTGTGCCCGAACTTTCTGACAAATGTATAAAGGAGTAATTTGTCACCATGTGTGCGAGACTCACAGCTGGTTGACACTTCGCGTCAATAGACATCGGAGGGTCACCATTTAACAGCGGCCGGGTACGCGCTGAGGGAACAGTACTAATTTAAACCACTCGTCATCCGAGGCAGATATCGACACACAAATACCTGTGATTGATTACACGGGTCTGATTACCCCCAATCGACTGATCGATCACATAACGCATGCGCAGTGATCCGTTGCTGATTGAGGATGATTGACAAGAACTCGGGGGCGGCTGTCCCCACAATTCAGTTCCTGGGAATTACGCCACTGAATCTGTAACTCCACACCGCCAGCCCGCCGTGTACAGATAACAGATCCACCCCCTGCTTGGCCCCCCTCTACTGGCAGATCACAGCTGATGATACCCCCAGATTACCTGTTCTTTATCACACATACAGGTACACTTCAACACAGGTAGATATTATCCTATTAATATTTAGAGATTATTATACCTGTAAGAATGCAGCCCCACACGCTACCCGTATCATTAATGAAGGTAATTTGCCATGTACATAATCTAAGTTAGGGAAGAAGTTAGTTCACTGTGAATAGACAACTGCCTAACGACATGCGAAACCCTGGGTGTACTCTCATTGTAGTAATACAGGCACACACGTGCACGCACACACACACGAAATACAAGCACAAGCACCCCGACACATTACACGACTTATTCAATTTACTAACAAGTGTTTATTGTTCATATTTTTCTCTCCCAGAATGGTTAGTGTTTAGGAGTTCGATTCCCACGAATTGATCAAATTACGACCCATGATATGTTAGCATCACACCCGTGGTTGGTTGCACCTTCATGTGAGACATGTTCCCCATCACGTGACAACGGACAGGTGGGTGTGTCAGGTATCCTTGCAGTGATGCTGTGCTGTTGTTGAACTATGAATCCATTTATCCCCAAATGTGATAATCTGAAACCAATAACACACTGTCGACAAATCGGAGGATCCAAAGGAACGTGTCTATCCATATAAATGGACATTTGATTGTGCAGTCAGCAGAGCATGTCCCAATCGTCAGCGTGAAGACGGTAACAACAGCATCATCAGCATCAACAACCTTGAGTAGTCAAAACGGAGCAAACTCTGAGCCCGCTTGTGTCTCATGTCACCAATTGTTTATCTATATCACGGGTGAAAGGTTCTATCGACTCTGCGTTGTCAACGATCCTGATTACCACAGTTAACCTCTATTGTGATAAGCGGGTACTTTGTGTAAGAACGGCTTCGATGTTTTTTAGGTTAATCTGTATATGACCACGTTTGTTCCACATCAAATGGTGTTCTCTGATTTACCACTGATCAGGGATTATTGATAACCCCTGATAATCCCCGACTTGCCGACTATAAGTCTATTATATCCCCTCACCAGCGTACAGTCTTATCACCCAGCTATCGAGCGAGATAACACTGCATTCCCCAGTGATTCAAACACCTGGGACTTGTATACTGAAGCAGTTCACGACAACGGTAATATACAAATGTACTGTGTAGTCATTGTGTACTTGTGGGGCGGGTGGCCATGTTGTCAAAGGCCCAGTTGCTGGGGACTCTGTGATTGTTGGTTCGAGTCTCAGATTCTCCATGATCATTATCTTCAGTGTATTCTCTCTTGCACGAGAGTGTGGGTTCGAATCCCGGATGGGACTCAATCTTACAAAAGTACCAGAATCTTTACTGAAAAAGGTTAATCCCAAATATTACATGTGTTACTTTTGACCACTTTCTAAATTACATTGTGTATTCTTTGTAATAGTGGGAAAAAACTTCACAAACAAATGTGCACCCACCTGTTAGGCAGAAATAAACGAGTGTGAGAAGGTTAACGTGTGGTTAACGTATGCATCGTCCGCTTGTGCGTAAGCGTGCGTGCGTTCATGCGTGTCTACCTGAAGTAGTCAGTTTTACAGTGCTAGTCCAGTTAGACACCACGCCACAGATTCATGTGAATACACCACCGACCATCACCCCCCAGACCCTCCATCCGCTAGCCAGAGGTGGCTTTCAGGAGGATGCAGGCGTTCTCAGCAATGTCAGATTAGCATAACCCCTCAAGTAAAAGTAGATTAGTACTCTGATCTGCTGGATAGATGTATATTTCAAAGATCCATTTAATGTTTAATGTTGTGTTTGCTTTCAGCCATCGCGAGACTATCGATGAACGCCACACCTTCAGGGAGCCACAACAGGACGCCCGGATATCGACGCCCCACGTCATGGAAGGCCCATCCATTATTCAGCAGGAAGTAGACCACACACGTGGAAGGACACACGTTTGTATGTTAGGTAACAGCGTGTTCTAACACGGCCAACCACGACACATCTCCACCACAGCCGACACAGACATCTACATCTGCAACACTGTAATCATATGGGCAGCGTCTGGATGAAAACACTGTGGACAAGAACCCTCTCTGTATAAACCGTTGTAGTTCTGTAATCACAAACTTTGGAACATAGCGGGAAAGAAAACACACAAGCTTGTTGCTCGCAAGAATACCGGAAAGAGGATCCACTACATTGATTTCTGTCGAATCATTCGGTTGGGAAACGGGAAATATGCCTGTGAAGTACGAGAGACGTACCCCATATTGAGACCGCACAGGAAGCGTGCCAAGAAAGTAGTAAAGGATCTCGTTTTGGAGAATTTGAAAAGTGATCACCATGCCCAAAGCCACCGGTCTTCAGTTTTTCAGGAAGCGCCAATCTTTGGCCAACTTAGACTTCGAGAGGCCACAGAGTCTGCCGGCGGTGTACGAAGCTGTCAAAGAAGCCGTGCTAGGCATTGAGGAGCGTCTGGCCATGTTGGAGATGTCGTTCTACGGTCCTGGAAAGACAATAGAGGAGGAGGTGAAGAAGTGGCTACCTCAGATAGAAGCCGTCATCAAGCCTGCCCGCTACACAGAGCTTAGCTGTCGTCGGCAGGTGGTGGAGATCACGGAGAGGGTGCACAACGCGGCGGACAAACTGATGGTGGACATGCACTGTCTGTCCGCTGTGCATGAGTGTGTCAGGAAGATTCTTACTACTTTAAGACTTGCATTCTCGGACATGATTCTCGTCACACAGAAACTGCAGTCGTACATGAATAAATACATGCTGAGCTTCAGTGCCTCTCTCGGTGACTCCTACATGGAGACCGCCACAAACTACGAAAAACAACGTCAGGAACTGACACAGGCCATTCAGATGAATGTGGACAATATCACAGATATGGCAGACAAGTTTGAGCGGGAAGAATTGCACATCAGTCACTTCGACTACTGGGTAAAGACGGTGGCGGAGAGGTGTGACTGTATGCATGCGTCCATACTCATGGCATTTCCGGCGGCCTGTGCGAACATTAGGAACGTGTGCACGGACATCCGGAAGTGGCTGGAGGCCGATAGCTCGTACTCATCCTATCTGACCTTTGACATCGAGGCTCTGGAATCACAGCGCGAGACTCACATTCGGAAGGTGCGTGACCTGCAGGTGAAGGTGTGCAATGCCGAGTACAAGGTGAAGGTCATCAAGAAGGACATTACTGACGCTGATGAGGAGTTGGTTCGCGTCAGCAGCAAGGAGAAGGAGCTGCAACAGGAGGAGAGTTATCTGATGGTCGCACACCATGACGTGCTGTTCGACCTCGAGATCAAGGACTTCAGGTGAGCGGTAGGGTGTTTACTGCCTTAGTTTCACGCACTGTTATCTGCATCCCGCCAACCCGCCATAATGATAACGGTGTGAACCAAGTATCTGTAGCTGGATGGTGTTCTGAATCCCATACATCTCCAACCTTTCGGAATGAGTTTGACAGATTATCAGAGATGTCATTGTCATTTAAACTCAGTAGTGTTAAAACGCCACCGTCAGAAAATATCCAGTCTCCATTGGAAGAAAAAGAGTAAGTTTTACTGCCAAATAGCGATGAAAGTGATAAAGATGAAAACATCGAGTTCCGAGACATGCCTGTTTGTACCAAGTCCCAGTACAGTTTCAGGGATTTATTTGTAGCATGAGCACGTTGTTACCCAAGTTTCTCATGAGAGGTTGTAACACTTTTTAGTTTTGTCAACACGTAATGTCTACAGGGGACAACAGTTCAGAATTAAGTCGAAGGGTACGTTGAATCTTTAGTTGGTTTTCGAATACACAGTTTCAACCACAGGGTGTTTCTTCCGGGCGATACCCGTGAAGATCCAGGTTAGAATTGGTCTCCAGCAACCCGTGCTTGCCGTAAGTGGCGACTAACGGGATCGGGTGGTCAGGCTCGCTGACTTGGTTGACACTTATCCCAATTGCGTCATCCCAATTATCCCAGTCCCATGCTGTTGATCACTGGATTGTTTGGTCCAGACTCGATTACTTACAGACCGCCGCCACATGGCTGGAATATTGCGGAGTGCGGCGTAAACCACACCCTACGAGCGGTACGCCATGCTCATGGTCGTATTTACACAGGCAGTCGGGGTACCGGACTCACAACAGTGTAATAGTATAGAAATGGACAACAAAGGACAGATGAAGAAGCAATGACGTAGCTGGATACTGGGGCTTGTGGGCGTGATCACCGACAGAGCTCAGGGGATATCCGATTAAGGCTGTACATGTAATAAACAAGATTCTGTTCTGTCAGAATATACATAAATAACAGTAATTAATGGAAGAGACCGAGTGGCGCGGGTTGGCTGACATGTCAATAGACAATTAGCATCATATGGATAATGACATGTGCTGGCTATATATGGCCTTTGAAATTTGTCAGTGTATTAGGACAATGGCGGCCCTGAATCAGTCGCTATAACATTATCTTGTGTTACACATAAATATATCCACACAAAAACACCCCCCACAAAAACACACACAGCACATACTCACGTAGGGACAACACAACCGTCGATCTATCCATGTATAACATGGCGGTTTGATACATTTAGACAACATTGACATATAAGACTTAGACTCTTACTTAAGTGTGATATAATTTTCAGTGTAACTTTTCTTAGCAAAGATGTAAATATTTATGTTTGGATGAACATTTGCTTGATGTGTCTAATTCTTAAAGTTGTACAAGCCGGACATACAAGAAGATGCTGATCTTCTACTACATCACAATTACACAGTAGTTAGTTACATATTATACGCTGTGCAGGATAGAGGACATGAAGCGACAGTCCACGAAGAACAACAGCCGTGAGTTCAACGAGGCCTATGAGCGTTTGCTGAGTGAGATCAACGCACTGAAAGACAAGAAGCCCGCCATTGACCGGAAGTTGGGTGATATCAACAAGAAGATGGCGTGGATCCGCGAGAAGCAGGAGAAAGGGAGACAGAGGTCCATTCAGCTTGAAGAGGCCAAGACCGGCCTGAGACATGCCAAGAAGGTAAGAAGCCGAATGACGCGCCACCTGGTGGGACACATTGGAATGAGGACATGTCAATGCTATTCTGGAACCATTTGCACAAAACGGTCTCAGCGCTCCGACTCTCATAAGTCTCTGTCAGAGTATGGGAGCTACAATCAGCGTAACACTAAAGTCGCTTTGTGCACGCGTGGGCCAAGGGCTGGTTCCAGAAATAGGTTTAATGAGGACAGTAAATTAGTATAAACGATAGCACTTTCAATAGTCAAAAAGAAATATTAAAAGCAGTTGGTTGTAATATTTTGACTATTTCATTAACATTTGTGTATCAAATAGTGCTGGTACGATGCATTCACTAAAAGAAGGGCTTAACCATGTTCAAAACGCCAAGCGATTGTATAGGAGTACACAACGAGTACACAACACAACAAGTCAAAACAGGGAGATGCCCCATATAGTGTTCTAGTATTAGATGCGTCATCCTCATCTCGATTATATAACGCCGTCGTACCATAACTGGAATAGTGCCCTGTGCAACACACACGCAACCACGCACATGCTCACACACAGTTGTTGTCCCAGTAAATATATAAACATGTGTTTGTGTCTGTGTCAGACGGCGCGTAAGGCGGAGGTGGAGTTGGAGAGGGTAGAAGCATGTGTAACAAAGCTGAAGGACATTCACCGCATCAAAACTAGCCCGGAAACTCTCAAGAAAATCTTCCACAAGCTGCCCTTCACTCCTCGGAAGTTCAATGCCACAAAGAAAGCGGGTATGTAGATAATTGTATATGTACGCTGCCAGGAAAGCGACATGTAGATAGGAATATACGGGAGAGGACATACGTTAAACATGCTTAATACAATATACAATGTGTAATACAATATTTAATACAATACAATCCCCATGTGCAATGAGTCTGTGATATGCCTCGCTGTCTCCAGTAGCCCTGCACCGCCTCCTAGGTGTGGTGGGTGCAGTGTCTGCCAGGAGAGACTGAGGTCGGTGGTCCTACTACAAGATAGGATAACCCTGGTTGTTTCTCTTTCTTCCGACTGCGGGGCGGTGGGGTAGCCTAGTGGTTAAAGCGTTGGCTCGTCACGCCGAAAACCCGGGTTCGAATCCCCACATGGGTACAATGTGTGAAGCCCATTTCTGGTGTCCCCCGCCGTGATGTTGCTGGAATATTGCTAAAAGCGGCGTAAAACCAAAACTCAGTCAGTCAGTCAGTCTACTGACTGCACTATTTACTATACTGTGTTTATGTTGAGTGCATACTGTTAAACTGTGGCGTGGCATCTCAGTGGGATAGCATTAGAATACCCACATTAGTCCGGATTAGTACAAGCAGACAAATGCACACACGCAGACACACACACACACACACACACACACACACACACAGAGAGAGAGAGAGAGAGAGAGAGAGAGAGAGAGAGACACAGAGAGAGAGACAGAGAGAGACAGACAGACAGACACACACAGACAGACACATGCACACAGACACACAGAGACGACAGCACGCAGACACAGATACGAAGAGACGCAGACACACGCAGACACAGACACGCACGCAGATGCATGCGCGCGCGCACGCACGCACGCACGCACACACACACACACACACACACACACACACGTGTAACCCTCTCTATGACCTCTGTACCTTGTGTGTACATCCCCAGATAAGCTGGAGCGAGCCTGCCGCATCACTGCTGCCTGGGTGGAGGGAGACTGGGTAAAGTTGTACCGGACCCTCCCCTTCTACCCCGCGCGGGGGGAGGAGACCGTCGGAGCCGATATTGACAACATCTTCAAGAACTACATGAGACACACGGTAGAGGAACAAGCCAAGCAGGCACTATGTCGCTGGCGGCGGATGCACACACGGGCCAAACTGGATGACCTTGTGGGCACTTTACATGACATTCGGCGGAAGGATATTGTTGACAAAATTGAGGAAGACTTCAATGCGAGGAAGAAGCCCCATATTCAGACGCCTCTTGTAAGGACTGTCCACTTCCCTAAACTTCCGGTAAGGTAAATTCAGACTGAGTGTATGCCTGACGTGTCGACACTGTGTTGAGCACATGCGCATGAAGCAGTCGGTGATGTCACTTCCGGAAAAAAGTTTCCTCTAATTCTTGAACCCTTTTAAAGGATGTGCGTTTTCGAAAAGATGTCTCACGGTTTCAGCATTTTCGAAACCTACTCAGTAGTGTTTTTTTTTGTTGTGAGAAGAAAGTTCAGGTGTCTTGATGTTACCACGGCCTCGAACAGTATGTCAGCAATGATATTGTGAATAATGGGGAGCCCGAGCACAGTGCTGACAAACGCTAACATTCTCCACACTTCAAGGACGTCCCACTGATGTCGGCCCATTGACTGTCAAACTAAACTGTGTACGATTAAAGTGTTTGATGGAGAGCCAGACTCCTCTGTCAAACTAGACTGTGTAGGTGTGAAGTGTTTGATGGAGAGCCATATTACCCTCTGTCAAACAAGACTGTGTAGGTGTGAAGTGTTTGATCGAGAGCCATATTACCCTCTGTCAAACTAGACTGTGTAGGTGTGAAGTGTTTGATGGAGAGCCAGATTCCTCTGTCAAACTAGACTGTGTATGATTAAAGTGTTTGATGGAGAGCCAGACTCCTCTGTCACACTAGACTGTGTAGGTGTGAAGTGTTTGATGGAGAGCCATATTACCCTGTCACACTAGACCGTGTAGGTGTGAAGTGTTTGATGGAGAGCCATATTACCCTCTGTCAAACTAGGCTGTGTAGGTGTGAAGTGTTTGATGGAGAGCCAGATTCCTCTGTCACACTAGACTGAGTAGGTGTGAAGTGTTTGATGGAGAGCCATATTACCCTCTGTCAAACTAGACTGTGTAGGAATGAAGAGTTTGATGGAGAGCCAGACTCCTCTGTCACACTAGACTGAGTAGGTGTGAAGTGTTTGATGGAGAGCCAGACTCCTCTGTCACACTAGACTGTGTAAGTGTGAAGTGTTTGATGGAGAGTCAGATTCCTCTGTCACACTAGACTGTGTAAGTGTGAAGTGTTTGATAGAGAGGCAGACTCCTCTGTCACACTAGACTCTGTATGTGTGAAGTGTTTGATGGAGAGCCAGACTCCTCTGTCACACTAGACTGTGTAGGTGTGAAGTGTTTGATGGAGAGCCAGATTCCTCTGTCACACTAGACTGTGTAAGTGTGAAGTGTTTGATAGAGAGGCAGACTCCTCTGTCACACTAGACTCTGTATGTGTGAAGTGTTTGATGGAGAGCCAGACTCCTCTGTCACACTAGACTGTGTAGGTGTGAAGTGTTTGATCGAGAGCCACATTACCCTCTGTCAAACTAGACTGTGTAGGTGTGAAGTGTTTGATGGAGAGCCAGACTCCTCTGTCACACTAGACTGTGTAGGTGTGAAGTGTTTGATGGAGAGCCATATTACCCTCTGTCAAACAAGACTGTGTAGGTGTGAAGTGTTTGATCGAGAGCCATATTACCCTCTGTCAAACAAAACTGTGTAGGTGTGAAGTGTTTGATGGAGAGCCAGATTCCTTTGTCACACTAGACTGTGTAGGTGTGAAGTGTTTGATGGAGAGCCATATTACCCTCTGTCACACTAGACTGTGTAGGTGTGAAGTGTTTGATGGAGAGCCAGATTCCTCTGTCAAACTAGACTGTGTAGGTGTGAAGTCGATCGAGATCGAGAGGCAGATTCCTATGTGGTCATGGTATAGCTGCATGAAGAAGCCGCCGGGAGTGCAGACAAAACCGGGAACTGGGGAACGCAATTCGCCACTACAAATGTCGGCGCTCTCGACTGGATCAACCGGGAACAATAGGAATGATCGGCACGTGATTATTATTACATTCAGCACCGATCTGTCTCCGGTTTGGAGTGGTGGGGGTAAAATACTTCACCATTCTTACAATAAACCGATGGAAATACAAAAAAAACCCCACATCTTTACGAGCCCTACATTTTGAGTTCACAGACCAGCGAGTGACAACTAACTCTGTGTGTGTATTATACATTATTCAGGTATCAGAATCAGAAAAACGTTTGACCTCCGCAACTGAGGTTTGTTTCTGTTAGTAGAGATAAGACTTCACATTCTATATATTGACCAGTCAGAGAACTGTGTGCTGTCATCGCAAGTGTCTACCTCTTTCAATGAATCACGCGTTGCATGTGTTTGAATAAAGTACCACCAGGTTAAAAACATCTACACTTGAAACTTTTGTTTTCAAGCCGTCAATGGTTACATTGTTGTGATTAGATAGAGACTGGCCACATATGCTGCTTAAAGATGTTCTTTACATACATGCAGTATGTGCGTGTGCGCGCTTATGTGTGTTTCCGGTCTGTTCATATGAGTGCGCATGTGTGTATGTGTGTGCATTTGTGTATATGGGCGTGTGCATGTGCATTAAAGTGTGCGTATGTGTGTATGTTTATGCATGTGTACCTACATTTGTTTTGCGTGTATGTCAACGTGTGTGTGCGTGCGTGCATGCATGTGTTTATGTATGTGTACCTGCATGTGTTTTGCGTGTATGTAAAAGGGGGTGTATACGTGTGCGCGCGTGTGTGTATCGTCCCCCTGGCATATACTGAAATCTGTTTGAGTGTTCTTATATCTCTGTGTAGATACCATTAGAATGGTGAAACTATTTCATGGCGGCCTTCAGAAACGGAATTGTCGCTACAGAATAATCCACCGAGATAGTCCTTCTGCAGGTCCTTCTGACTTTGGATGGGGGGTAATTTGTCACAATGCATGGTACACATGGTTGAGCTCCCTGATAGAACACGTGCTTATACATCCAGATACTAGTAGTCGAAACGATAGTACACAGCCCAGAGGGTAAACATAACAGTACACCCTGAAGATACACATTCAGTTACTCTCTTAGAATGGTAAGTACACTCAAGCAGTAAACGGGACAGCACTTTTGGATGGTAGATTTTTCAGCAGTCTCTGGAGGTATACTTGAGAGTACAGTTTGGTGGTAGGCCTGACAGTACACCCTGATGATAGGCCTGAAAGTACATCTTGGCCTTAGGTGTGACGGTACACTCTGATGATAGACCTGACTGCACACCTTGGTCTTAAGTGTGACAGTACACCCTGATGATAGACCAGACAGTACACCTTGGTGGTAGGCCTGAGAGTACACCCTGGTGACAGACTTGAAAGTACGCCTTGGTGGTAGGCCTGACAGTACACCCTGATGATAGACCTGACACTACAACTTGGCCTTAGGTGTGACAGTACAATCTGATGATAGACGTGACAGTACACCCTGATGATAGACCTGACAGTACACCTTGGTCTTAGCTGTGACAGTACACCCTGATGATAGACCTGACAGTAAATCTTGGCCTTAGGTGTGACAGTACACCCTGATGATAGACCTAACCGTACATCTTGGCCTTAGGTGTGACAGTACACCCTGATGATAGACCTGACAGTCAAACTTGGTCTTAGGTATGACAGTACACTCTGATGATAGACCTGACAGTACATCTTGGCCTTAGGTGTGACAGTACACTCTGATGATAGACCTGACAGTCAACCTTGGTCTTAGGTGTGACAGTACACTCTGATGATAGACCTGACAGTCAACCTTGGCCTTAGGTGTGACAGTACACCCTGATGATAGACCTGACAGTCAACCTTGGTCTTGGGTGTGACAGTACAATCTGATGATAGACCTGAGAGTACACCTTGGTCTTAGGTGTGACAGTACACCCTGATGATAGACCTGACAGTCAACCTTGGCCTTAGGTGTGACAGTACAATCTGATGATAGACGTGACAGTCAACCTTGGCCTTAGGTGTGACAGTACACCCTGATGATAGACCTGACAGTACACCTTGGCATTTGGTGTGACAGTACACTCTGATGATAGACCTGACAGTACACCTTGGCCTAAGGTGTGACAGTACACCCTGATGATAGACCTGAAGTCAACCTTGTTCTTGGGTGTGACAGTACACCCTAATGATAGACCTGACAGTCAACCTTGGCCTTAGGTGTGACAGTACACCCTGATGATAGACCTGACAGTCAACCTTGGTCTTAGGTGTCACAGTACAATCTGATGATAGACCTGACAGTACATCTTGGCCTTAGGTGTGACAGTACACCCTGATGATAGACCTAACGGTACATCTTGGCCTTAGGTGTGACAGTACACCCTGATGATAGACCTGACAGTCAACCTTGGCCTTAGGTGTGACAGTACACTCTGATGATAGACCTGACAGTACACCTTAGCCTTAGGTGTGACAGTACCCTCTGATGATAGACCTGACAGTACACCTTGGCCTTAGGTGTGACAGTACACTCTGATGATAGACCTGACAGTCAACCTTGGCCTTAGGTGTGACAGTACACCCTGATGATAGACCTGACAGTCAACCTTGGTCTTGGGTGTGACAGTACACTCTGATGATAGACCTGAGAGTACACCTTGGCCTTAGGTGTGACAGTACACCCTGATGATAGACCTGACAGTCAACCTTGGTCTTGGGTGTGACAGTACAATCTGATGATAGACCTGAGAGTACACCTTGGTCTTAGGTGTGACAGTACACCCTGATGATAGACCTGACAGTCAACCTTGGCCTTAGGTGTGACAGTACAATCTGATGATAGACGTGACAGTCAACCTTGGCCTTAGGTGTGACAGTACACCCTGATGATAGACCTGACAGTACACCTTGGCATTTGGTGTGACAGTACACTCTGATGATAGACCTGACAGTACACCTTGGCCTAAGGTGTGACAGTACACCCTGATGATAGACCTGAAGTCAACCTTGTTCTTGGGTGTGACAGTACACCCTAATGATAGACCTGACAGTCAACCTTGGCCTTAGGTGTGACAGTACACCCTGATGATAGACCTGACAGTACATCTTGGCCTTAGGTGTGACAGTACACCCTGATGATAGACCTAACGGTACATCTTGGCCTTAGGTGTGACAGTACACCCTGATGATAGACCTGACAGTCAACCTTGGCCTTAGGTGTGACAGTACACTCTGATGATAGACCTGACAGTACACCTTAGCCTTAGGTGTGACAGTACCCTCTGATGATAGACCTGACAGTACACCTTGGCCTTAGGTGTGACAGTACACTCTGATGATAGACCTGACAGTCAACCTTCGCCTTAGGTGTGACAGTACACCCTGATGATAGACCTGACAGTCAACCTTGGTCTTGGGTGTGACAGTACACTCTGATGATAGACCTGAGAGTACACCTTGGTCTTAGGTGTGACAGTACACCCTGAAGATAGACCTGACAGTCAACCTTGGCCTTAGGTGTGACAGTACACCCTGATGATAGACCTGAC